TCAAAATCCCTAGCCCTAAGAGAGATGCAAATTAAAACAACTATGAGATATCATCTCGCCTTTTTAATCTTTTAATGGTGTAACATAATGAAAGGAAATTTGCTCCCCATGCATGAGATAATCTACTGTCCTGTCTTCCGATCCACTATTCCTCTCTTTAGCTGTATTTATTCTTCATTTAAGGTCACCTACCAGTTGTCATCCTAAACTCTGGGGTCTCACAAAAGTCAGAGGAGACAAATGCTGCTGAGTTTTTAATGACTGAATTTTCAGAAGATTCCTCCGAGGCAGCTGTGGGTGGTGTAGAACTGGCAACCTTTTGGTTAGCAACTGAGGACATTAACTGCTTGCAACTCCCAGGGATTCTGTCTACATGGTTCTTCGTTTCAGTTGTTGTATTTCTCAGTTTGTCAAGTCCATTCAATTCTTTTATTTAATAAAATTCTCTTATTGAATTATCCATGTGATCATCTAGTTTCTTGGACCTACTGATTATAATTCTTTTTAAAGTCTTTGCTGACAGTTCCATTAGCAGGGTCTCTAAAAGGTCTCTACTTTGTATGTAAATTTTTTTTTTCTCTTTTGATTTTCTTGTGTGCTGGGCATGCCTGATAATTAATTACTACATGCTAGACATTTGTATATGAAATAATGTGAGGATAAAATGAGAGACACGTTTCCTCCAAATAACATTTGCTTATCTCTAGTAAGTAATATAGAGGGAGATCCCTTTAATCTTGAGTTGAACTAAAGCTGTGTTTCAATTTTTGTGAGAACAAGTTTATTCCAAGTATGTCCTTCTTCCTACACATGGTGTTCAAGGATTCCAACTGAAAGCCTTGGGTGGTGATTAGAGACCTCAACTCTACTTTTGTTTCTCTCTCCAGTCCTACACTTGTTCTTCCACAGGAGAAGGATGGACAATCTCCTCCTGCGTGATTTACTGACTCTGACCATGGGCTGGAGGGTCAGCTACGAGTCAGCCCAACTTGATGGCACACAACAACACAAGGCTCTCCCCAGCCTCTTGGCCAGGGCTTATGAACTGGTAATTGCAGCTGAGGAAAGGCCCCCACATGTCAGACTCTATTTCCTTTGTGCCTGAGACCTTGACCCATCAAATTGCAATAACTCCGTTAACATGCCACAGCCTATAAACAGATGCTTCTATATTTTATCTAGCTTTCCAATGGGATTCAGGAGGAGAAAGGCCCAATTCAAACTAGATTGCCAGAGCTAGAAGTGCAAGTCCAAGTGAACGCTTTTAACAGTGCAAATCTGAATCTTATTCTTTCCCATCTAGTTCTTATCAACACAAAATCCATTGCTGTCCAGTCAGAACCAATTCAGCACTGAATGTCCACTGGGTTTCCAAGGCTGTAAGTCACACAGGCAGGGCCTGTCCGTCTCTCCCCCACGGAGCTGCTGGTGGATTCCCACTTCCTCAGGGCCCCTCGCCTTTCGGTTAGCAGACAACGCCAGAGTTAGGCAGCTCCTCTAGACCTTAGGCAGCTCTTGGAGTCACAGAACCTACTGCTTAAAAACGTGGGCTCCATATACAGTCAGGGGATAAATGCGGCTGCGCAGTAAATGCCAAGGGAGCAGCAGTAGCTTCGTGTTCTCAGTGACTTATCAGCGGGGGTGTGAACTGCTCTGACCTTGCACAGAACCCAGGGCGGGACAACTGCAGGACAGGTACCTGAGTGACATTGTCGTCATCCGCAGTGTTGTAGCGCTGCACGTCCCCAGAATACCGCATGCAGTGCTCCAGGGCGGAGCGCTGCTGCTCGGGAGCACTGAAGCTGTTCGGGTAGTAATTCGGGGCTCCACCTACAAAGGAAGGACACGTGGATTCACTCGGGAGATGAAAACCAAGTCGGTCGGCAGCTACCGAACGCAATAAGAAAGACATATAACTGGCGATCACATACAGATAGATCGTGCACATCACACGTATGTGTAACATACAAACATACACACACATCCGCAGCCTATGCAAAGGGTAACGTGCTCACATACTACCCAAAAGGTTGGTCGTCTGAACCCACCTCAGGGTGTATCAAAAGGCAGGCCTGGTGGTCTGCTTCCAAAAGGTCACAGCCTTGATCCCATGTGACAAATTCTATGCTGCACACATGGGGTCACCTTGTATCAACTCAACAGCAACTAGTAACAACACCATGCACATTCCAAGAACATTTCTAAAGTTGATACTTCTAGTAAATTCACTCTTACCAGTTTAAGAGAAATAGTGACAACTAGAATCAAAACTCTTATTACAGCTACTGAAATAAACTCAAATTGTGTCTTTTGCTTTATGTGGTTTCCTAACTATACTTTGCTCAGTCTAAAATTAGCATTAGATCCAATTATCTGTTTCATACTGCCTAACCCGAACAAGTGACCTAGAAACATATTAAGTGGTTTGAGCAAACCAGTCTGGGGTGGAATGTTAGCAAGCTCGCTATGGGACAGATCATCCTCACGGGACAGTCAGGAGATGCCACACATCACATCAATCTAAAGGCATCAGGTGTGTGTTCAGGGGGAGGGAGGACACCTCGGTGTTGGAGAGCCTGATTGTTACAGCAGTTGTAGGTCAGACTCCCGTGTGAAAAGCAAAACTCTCCAACAGCCCTGCTAACAGGGCATTTTTCTGCATTAATAATTAGCTTTGACCTGTGCCTCTTTGAGCAACTTAAAATGTCTATTTCCAGATAAACTCTGATCTGTACTTAAAGAGTGACTTTCCACTATATAAACTCAAACTCTTGGCTACCGAGTTGGAATTGCCTCAGAGCTGACCTTCCACTGGGTTTCTCAGGCTGTAAATTCCAGGGAACGAGTTTGCCCCTCTCCCTTCCACAGAGCCACCTGCAGATTCAGACCTCCAGAGAGGTGTTGCCTCTGGTCAAGCATCACAGCTCCCTATGCGGCCACCCCACCAGAGCACCCTGCTCCCGTTATAGACAAAGACAAATCCAGACACATTAGGGACTTCAGAATTCTCAGAACAAGCAGCGATAACACTATTAGGCCTCGCCCTCAACAACAGATTGTCTAAGAGAAAGACAAAGCACAGACAGCAACAGACAAAATACACAAGACCTCAACAGCTATTCTGAAGCATAATGTATAATTTTCTGACTTTTCATAGAGATAAGTCATCAGCCATTTTATATTAGAAAGATAAGATAAAATATTTCATATGATTAAAGTGGTAACTCTAAGAGGTTCTATAGCAAACTATAAAATTTCAGAATTAATAGAAAGAAAATACATCCATAAAAAAAGAAAATACAGAAAAGGAAAAAAAATGTAAAACTTCTGGTCCTCAAAAGGCATTAACCAATACCAGTAAAAAGGTAAAAGGTCAGATATGGACCAGGAAACCATTAACTTTAGAAACCATATATCTAATGTTGTTGTTGTTGCTGTGTTGTATACCGTCTGGTCAGAAGCAACTAGTTGCTGAACTTCCAGTGGTTTTCAGAGGCTATAAATCACAAGGGAGGAGACTGCTTATCCTGCTCCCCGGAGTTGCTGGTAGATTGGAAACAGCCACCTTTAGGTTTGCACTGCAAGTCTTTACCCAGTGGGCCACCTCAGCTCACTGTATATCCAAGAGAAATAGAATACCATATAAAAATACAAATATGATCTAACAGATCAGTAATATCACATGCAAGCAAAATATTGCCGAAGAGCATCCCCAACAGCATCCCCAAATGGATAGGACAGTCCATTAACAAGTAACTGCCATGGGTTCAAGCTGGGTTGACAAGAGGCTGTGGCACCAGAGATATCTTGGCTGAAAGCAGAGAATATCAGAAGAATGTCTATTTGTGTTTTCTTGATTATACAAAGACATTTGACTGTGGATCACAACAAATTGTGACTAACATTGAATGGGAAATGCAGATGACTTAATTGTGCTCATACAAAACCTATACCTAACCAAAAAGCTGTTGTCGCAACAAAGCAAGGGAACACTGCCATTTAAAATTAAGAAAGGTATGTGTCAAGGCTGTATCTTTCCTTTCTCCATTCTGATTCAATCTGCATGCTAAGCAAATCATTCAAGAAACTGACCTCTATCAAGAAGAATGTGGTATCAGGATTGGAGGAAAATTTAAAACACTTGGTGCAGAAGATCAAAGACTACAGCCTTGGATTATATTTCAACATCATAAAGACAAAAATCCTCACCCGCTAGGCCGATTGAAGCTGCCAGCAATTTCCTCCTACTTGGATCCACAATCAACACCCTTGGCACTAGCAGTCAAGAAATCAAAAGATGTGTTGCATTGAGAAAGTCTCCAGTCAAAGAACTCCCCATAATACTAAGGAGCAATGACATCAGTTTGAAGACTAAGGTTCACCTGATTCAGGTCATGGGGGGTTTTTTTTCAATTACTTGATATATATCTGACAGCTGGATAATGAAAAAGGATGACAGAAGAACTGATGCTTTGAAATATGGTGTTGGAGAAGAGTGCTGAATATCCCATGGACTGCCAGAAGAACAGATATGTCTTAGAGAAAGCACTCCAGATTGCTCCTTGGAGGTAAAGATGATGAAGCTTCATCTCACATACTCTGGACATGTTGTTAGAAGAGGCTATTTCTTAGAAAATTACATCCTTCTTGAAAATATGGAAGGTCAGTGAAGGAACGGAAGACCCTCAACCCAATGGACTGATGGTGACTGCAGCAATGGGCTCAAGTGTGTCAGAGTTGATGAGGGTGGTGCAAGATGGTGCAGAGATAGGTCTGTTGTTTATAAGGTCACAAGAAGTCTTACTCAAGTCAACATCTAACAACAACCACAACCATATATACGTATATATATGTAACATATCAGAGAGCTAGACAGTGACTAAGGATAACAGAAGAAGAATATGTCTTTGAGTTGTGGTGCTGGAGAACATATCATGGACCACAAAGAAAACAAATAGGTCTGTCTTAGAGAGGGTGAAACCAAGTGTCTCCTCGGAGGCTAGGATTTGAAGCTCTGCCTCACTTACTTTGGGCACGTGGCCAGGAGAGACCAGTCCTTAGAGAAAGACAGCATGCTTGGAAGGGGGAAGGGAGAGCACAGGAGAAGACGACCCTGGATGAGATGGATACAGTAACTGGGGCAATGGGGGTAGGTGTGTCAGAGTCAGTGAGACTGGCTCAGGACGGGGCAGGGTCCAGAGCTGTTGTACATAGCATTGCTAGGGGTCACAGGTGACTTGAAAGCCCATAATAACAACTATATATATATACACACACATGTCTTGAGTTGAATAAGACTTATGAGTTGAGTAAGATTTATAGTCTTACTCAACACCTAACAACCACAAACATACATATATACATATACATATACTTATGTATATGGTTGTGGTTGTTGTTAGATGTTGAGTTGATTAAGACTCATAGCAACCTTATTAACAATACATCTGGTCTCGGCACCACCCTGCACCACCCTCATCAACTCTGACACACTTGAGCGCATTGCTGCAGTCACCATCAGTCCATCAGGTTGAGGGTCTTCCTTTAACTTCTGCAACTTAAAAATAAAAAGTGAATACGTTATAAAATGGGCAAAAGTCTTGACCCATCTAATTTAATAAATGATCCATGTAAAAAGAGCTAATTAAAGAGTTTTCAGGGGAAGTTTAAAAAAAAAAAAAAAGTCTTGAATAAACATTTCACAAAGGAAGACAATCAAATGCCCAACCAACCATATGGAAAGAGATAATCAGTATCATTAGCCATCAAAGAAATACAAATCAGGTCATTACATTCCAATCAGGATAGCCAAGATTTAAAGAAAAAAGAAAATAACTATTGGTGAGGATGTGGGGAAACTGGAACCTTATTCATAGCTGGTAGGAATGCAAAATGGTCCAGCCACTGCGCAAAAGTGTGGGAGCTCCGCAAGAACACGAAAGCAGACCTACGGCCCAGCGAGTCCACTCCTCAGAGTATCTTCTACAGTCTTGGAAGAAGAGATTTCAAAACAGATCTGAACACCACGGTTCACTGCAGCGCTATTCACAACAGGCAGAAGGCAAAACTACCTTAACAGTCATCACAAAGATGAATGGGTAAACAAAACGTAGTCTATACAGACAATAGAACACACTCAGCCAGTCGGAGAAATGAAGTCTCAACACAGGCTGCAGTGTAGACAGAGTTTTAAGACATTATGCAGAGCACAATAAGCCAATCCCAAAGGACAAATACTTTCTGATCTCACTTACATGATATAAAGAAAACGCAAATACAGAGATCAAAGGTTACTGGAAAGGTAGAGTGGAGATTAATGGGACAGAAAAATGGCCCCAATTAAGGGTAGAGTTGCATATATGAGTATTATAATTGCTGTCAATAAGTTATACACCAGTAAAAAGCTGAATTAGCAAAAACTGCATCATAGACATTTATCATATCAGGGAGAAAGGAGTCTCATCCAGTGTAGTTTATGTACGACCAAATTCCTCTCAGGGTTTGTTTCCATGATTTAGAGGTTTAAGGTCACAATTTCATGGGCCAGTTAACTGATCTTCAAATGTGGCCAATATTTCTGTTCTACTTCCTAGTTCATGGTGTGGGACCTGAGGTCTCAGAAGTCTGTAAGTGTACACAACAATTAAGCTCTATTCACCGAGAACAATAGAGGAAGAAAGCACAGGAGTCCTAAGGAGGGGAGACCATGGAATGTTGGTGGCTCACTGTCTCCACGAACAATGCTTCCTGCACTATCTATATACCACCAAGAACAAGATGATGCCTGACTGCTGTTACTACATATTCTCATCAAAACACTCATGGGGTCTCTGCGAACTGGAGTTGACACCTGACTCAAGTCAGACTCTACAGGACAAGCAGTATGAAAGCTCTTCTCCTTGACTTTGACCATCAGCTAGACTGTAAGTAAAACCTGAGGTGCAAATGGCCAACAAAAGTGGTAAGAGAGGTAAGAAGATCAAGAGTCCTCGGGCAGGTTACACCTCTGTGCCTGGGCCCAAGGACGAATTCCTGGTTGTTTGAAGCACCCATGTAGCACCTTCCCAGGGCACATGGTGAGGGCCTATGGGGCTCAGTTTACAAATCACTGCCCCGGCATCCTGTCCCATCTGTTCTGGCTTCTCCCTCGGCCACACCTACCTTGGTTGTCCATCATGCACATGGGGCCATCACGCTGGTAGTTGGCCACTCGGGTACGGAAGGGACAGTTCACCGGGATCTGAAGGTAGTTGGGGCCCAGGCGGTGGCGGTGAGTGTCAGGATAGGCAAACAGACGGCCCTGCAGTTATGAATGATACCGACATTGAGCATCTGGAGCAATGCAATAAATAGAAAGGGTCTATAAACTTCATTCCAAAATTTAAAGTACAAAATACCCAATATACATTGTTGTTGTTATGTGTCATGGAGTTGCCTGTGGCTCTTAGCGACCCTGTGTACAACAACCCTAAACCCTGCTCTATCCTGTACCAACCTTTTTTTTTTAAGATCAAATTTGGTTGGGTTTTTTTTTTTGCTTTTTTGTATTTTCTTTTTTTTTATTTCCATTCATTCATTAGTGCACACTTACCTCCCTGCCAACCCCTCCCCACCAGTTCACTTTTCTCTTTGAAAACCTGCACCAATCTCATTGTCTCTGACACACCTACCCCCATTACCCTAGTCACTGAATCAATCCATCTCATCGAGGTCTTTTTCTCTTTCTCTGTCCCTCCACCCTCCCAAGTATGATGTCCCTCTCCAGGATTGGTCCTGCCTTGTAACATGTACAAAGTATGTCAGATGAAGCTTCAGAATCCTTGCCTCCAAGGAGCAACCTGATCTCACCCTCTCTAGGATGAACTTGTTTGTTCTCCTAGCAGTCCACGGTATATTCAATACTCTTCTCCAGCACCACAGCTCAAAGGCATCAATTCTCTATCATCCACAGTCATTGTCCAGCTTTCTGATGCAAAGAAAGTCATTGCAAAGACTATGGCCTAGATCAGGCACACCTTAGTCTCCAGATTGACATTGTTGCTCTTTAGTACTTTGAAGAGCTCTGACAGCAGACTTTCCCAATGCAAATTCATCTTTTTATTTCCTGGCTGCTGCTACCAAGAGTATTAATTATAGAGCCAAGCAAACTAAAGCTGTTAACAATCTCAATCTCTTCACTATCTATCATGATGCTGCCAATCAGCCCAGTATAGTTACCATAAAACTTTGTCTATCTCCCTACTAAAGAGCAAAGTCTCTTATGAGTTCTCCTTAACTAAACAAACAGAAGTTAATCTTCCTTGCAATATGGACAAACAACAATAAATCTTCACATCTGTTCTGGAAAAGAACTTCCTTTTTTTTGCTCTGCAAAATAACAGGCCGATGCCTTGTCTTACATTATTTTCTAATTCCAAGTAAGTATTATATTGTAAACTCACTAGCATACAACTAACCAGAATCCCGAGTGAATCCTACTCCTCTCCTCCCGCCAGCTGCCCCCCCCCCAGAAGAGGAGGGAGCACTGGGTTCTAACCATTAGACCACCAGGGAAAGTTCCATCCTACTAGGAGGCTTCAACCGTTGGCTCTCTATTTTTTTTTTTTTTTAAAGGCACGTTAGGGTAAAGCAGTGTAAAGGAAATTATTAAAGAAAGCACTTCCTGTTTCACATCCTGAATTATCTCACAGCATCAGCTTTAGAAATTTCTAGTTACAGAGAAAGCACTACAAAATTTATTGCTTTTAAACAAAATATTGGATAAACTCAATTTTGAGCTTTTAAGCTTAGGGTTTTTTAAGTTAAGCTTGAAGATAATGGCAAGCATTGGCTAAGGTTCAAAATGAACAATGGACAATGTCAGGAGGTCTTGAAGTAAAGATTCAATAGCTGTTGTGTATGGTAATGTCAGAATAGACCCATAGCTGACCCTCCTACAGGTTTTCAGAGGCAGCAAATCGCACAGGAAACTGCCCATCCTTCTACTGTGAAAGATTCAAAGAGGTTATGTATCACAGCAAGATAGTAAGCCTTGTGAAATGTCTTTCAGTCAGTACAGATAGAAAAAAAAATGTAATTTTACATTTAGTACTGCTACCTAATTATTTAAGTATCTCAAGAGTATGTCCATGTCCCTAATGTTACCAGGCAAAGTAGAAACCAAATAAATAGGGCAACTTGTGCAATATTTTGTACCAAATTGCTCAGAGCAACATCCAGCCACATGCTCTGCTCTGTCAATAGTCTCCACTTGGCTGAGTGATGGCACCTCCCATAATCATTTCCAATAGTCCTGGCTGACAGTCAGGTGCCTGGTGGTGGCTGACCCTTGGGGACTAGGACTTACCCCAGCTTGGAAGCTGGTTGTCTCCTGTGCCTCAAAATCAACTCCGCTGTGGTTCAGCTCTACCAACCAACAAATCAACTCAATGCTGATTATAAGACTATAGTAACCACCAACAAGTCACTGAAAGTCGAAAATGACTCACAGTTGAGACTCTCCATTGGAGATTGTCCATCTTTCTGCTGTGAAGCAGCTAGTGGATTCGAACCACCTGACAGGCACAGTTTTTCGGTTAACAGCGTATCTCCCTACGGACTATGCTACCAGAGTTCCCTTAACTCTACCTATAAGACAATAGAATTGGGTCATAAGCAGCCCCTAGAAAGAGCCTCCATCATGGAATTCCACTTACCAGGCAACTCGAACCAAAAACGTCAAGTTAGGAAATGGGCACAGTGAGAACACTGACACTAAGTTCAAGGTCCTGCGCCTGAACTCCTCAGCTGGGGCTGAGAGAGAAGGCAGAACACAGACGCTCCCACACAGAAGCCAACCCAACATGTTCCCCAACTCCTGCCTCCAAGTTCCACTGTGGGCGGTCCCAGACCTCTGAGGGGCCTAGATCCTCCCAAAGAGAATCTGGGTGACCTTGTTGACTCAACCAGGTCCTCCAGCTTCCAAGATTGTGTAGTCTTTAGGCAGTCCGTGACAATTTCCGGCACTGGCTGGCAAATCCCAGCTACATCTTCATGTGTTTCGGTTCCACACCAAACACCACACAGAGGAAGAAGGCCAGGACTCAGGGCTATGTAGCTTCCCTACTCCCTCCTTTGAACTATAAGCTCTTCTGCTTAGCCTCTGTCAACTGCTTGACTTCCCTTTTCTATTCCCAACTTCTGGCTCTTTTGTTCTGTTATCACTACCAGGAGTAGTTCTCAAAGATCAAGCCAGACTGAAGAAAACTTTCCTTTTTCCTGAAGGGATAATTGTGCAGATTTTAAAGTTTTCTCTGATATTTGTCCACTGTACATGTGCAATCTTATCTCTTCTAATTCAGAAAACTGGAACAGTACACAGTTTAAACTGCCCCCCTTCTGTACCTTTACTTCTATTACCACTTTGTTGTTGTGAACCCTCGAGTCCAAATTAAACCACAGTTAACCATCCAGTGGGTTTTCAGAGGAAATTTAATCACACAGGAGGCGACAACCCATTTTTCTCCCACGGAGCCATTCGTGGATTTTAACCATATATCTTTCGGATGGCAGTGCAGTTTCTAACAATGCATTCTGCCCTAGCATAGCTCCACTGAAAATCAAAATGGAATGTATTCTTCAAAACCCATCTCTAACGCTATCTCACACACAAAATACTGTTGTCATAATTTATTGTTTATTGTCAAACCAGAACCAACTCATAGCTGAGGCTCTACTGGGTTTTCAGGGGCTACAGATCACATGGGAGGAGAGTCCCTATTTTTCTCATACAGAGCAACTAGTGGATTTGAACTGCCTGCTTTGGGATTGGCAGCGCAACTCCCTATCCACTAGACCACCACATCCCCCTTGTCATCTTTTGGAGACAATATTTCACCTTCTGATTTACTGTGGCCAACTGCCTTACAATGGAGTTATCTGGTGCTTTTATATCCTATACAACACTTAGGACATGCTCACAGAGACAGTAGAGTAGACAGGTGACTCACTCCAGGCTCTGAGCCCCAAGATCATCACCCCCGTTCAGCAAGAAGTAGCCAAAAGAAAGATACAGCACCCTGTTTTATCACTAAAAAGAGTCTGAGATGATAAGTTTGGGCAAAGAGGGCCGAAGAGAAGAATGAAGAATTCAGAACTCAAATGCTGATGGCCTTTCCTACTGCTGATAAGAAGAGCAAACAGCCTTGCTTGCCTGGCTGAGCTAGCAGGTGGCTCATAAATCAGAGTGGAATGTCCCTCCCTAAAGACTCTGTTTATAAAAATCCTCCCCAGTAAGTTTACAGTGTGACTTCCCATTCTGCTTCTCCAGGATGAGGAACTCGCCCAGGAGCTCCCCTTCCCCCCTTTAATAAAGCTGCATTAAGCTTTGTCTTGTCCTCTCTGATCTCTTCTTTAAGTCTGCTAACCTAACAATAGGCACACAATATATTACCATATCAATTGTAGTTATGATAATATATGAATATTGGTTACATTGAACCAAAAACTAATGAAGGTTCGAACAAGTACTTTGTATAAAATAATCAAACCTTCCCATTCTCACTAAAAAAAGTTTCTTAGAGAGGAAAGGGTAGGGACAGAGGGCTGAGGTTGAGGGGGGAAAAATCATAGGGTCACACAATTTGGTGGGTAAAGGGAAGGGGGTGTTAAGGAAACAGGAAAGATCTGGTGGGGATCTGGAAAGACAAGGTACAGTGGATGTGGTTCAATGGTGATTGATTTTATAAAGCATAACTAATGAGAATGACTGTATGAAAAAATGTGAATGAAGGCTAGTGTGAAACACAATGTATACAAACTTTATATGCAAACCAATAGGAAAAAAAATCCTGAAGTATTAGTACACAGAGAGGTGAAATGGTTTTGGAAATTAATAAATGCCAAATATGAATTTTTTAAGTTACTTTAAAAAAACCCACAAGGAATCTTAATCTGTCCCCAGGGAAGCTGCCACTGGAACAAGAATCAGTTACATAAGAAGTAACCATCTGATCAAAATTTGCAATTTGAAAAAAAAGAAGTAACCATCTGATCAAGGGTATGACGGCCAACCTTTGTTCTATGGTCATGGTCCAAAATGCAAAATATTTATTTATTCAATAATTATTAAACTAATTCTTTTCCTACTGATTTTTGGCTCTGAAGAAAAATTGTTTACTCTTTGGACTCTGGAAAGAGTATACTGGAGAGTGGTGTAAAACATATTGAATGCCCAGGAACTGAATTCCTCCAATCACTGACAATATAAATGTTGTTGTTGTTGTTGTCATAGATCACCATCAAGTCAAGTACAACTCATAGCGACGCTGTGAACAGAAGACCTAAAGCTTTTCTATAACCATCATTGTTTCTCAAAGCTCACAGAGTTTCCAGAAGCATGTTGTTTAGGAAGTGGTTGCCACTCCTACTGCCAAAGCAATATAAATAAAGTTCATAAAAATGGCTTGCACACTGAGCTTCTGTTCATAGTGGCAGAAAAATTTAGAAACCCATTTAGAGAATGGGTGGTGATATAGCATGATGAAAGGAATTAACGTCATTAAATTATACATAGCCTTGGTGGCCTAACGGTAAGGAGTTGTATTACCAATCCAGAAGCACACAGTTCAAATACACCAGCAGCTCAATGGGAGAAAGATGGGCAATCTCCTCCCACATGATTTACAACTTCTGAAAACCTGCTGGAGGGTCAGCTATGAATCAGTTCCACCTCAACAGCACATAACATCAACCCGGAATATGTTCTGTTTATACTATAACTTTAAAAAAAAATCACCTCTAGATTTCCCCCCCCTTCTGAAGGCAGAATGAGTAAGAAGTGCTGTCAAATGGAAGGCAGGCAGTTCAAATCCACCAGCTGCTCTGCAGGAAAAGGAAAGGCAATCTCCTCCTATGTGATTTACAGCCTCTGAAAACTCACTGGAGCTGAAAACGCAGCTCTGAGTCAGTTCTTACTTGATGACAATAAGTGAGTGGGTGAGACCATTTTAAAAAGACAAAGAGAAATTCAAACATTTCATGGAACAGAGCATAAAGAAAGTTATCCTGACCAAGGATATAATCAATCCATTCAATCCCTCTTCTAATGAGCCACACACTGAATAAAAAACATGACACTCTCCAAACAAGAAAAATGACTTTTTTGAAGTGTTTCTTACATAGTGTTTCTAGTATGCATACCTAACAAGTATTTTTTAAGAGACTCAATGTCAGTCTTAATATATCAACAGTAAAAGTCTCTCCTCTATTTTATCCCAGTAATGCTTATCCAAGGATGGCTTTATCTTACTCAGTTCCTCAGGAAACTAAAACCTGGATTAGCCAACATGTAAATACATTCTCATTAATTCTTCATGTCAGAGCATGTCCAGAACACCTGGGTCCTCCAGGCTCACCTGAAGCATCTTGTCCGGGCTGGGCTCGATGCCAGGTGGCATGTTGCTTGGGTCAAAGGCTATCTGCTCAACCTCAGCAAAGTAATTGACAGGGTTCCGGTTTAGGACCAATTTACCAACGGGGATCAGAGGATAGTCCTTGTGAGGCCAAACCTGGAAAAAAAATGTCATGTTCATAATTACCACACAATCAACTGAAGAATAAAAAGAACGACCCTTAAAAACAGCAGCATTCACATTTAAACCAACATTCTAACCTAATAAACTATGTTAAAGTCTACAGTGAGTATGTAGGTTTAATCTTTCACAGAGGGAAATCGTTAATATTGACAAAAGCACATCATAGGCAAATGTGCTTCAACTGTTCATCATTGTTCCTTGCTAGTAAAATGCATGTAAAGGTGGTGCTGGGGAAGAGTACTGAGTACCCCACGGACTGCCAAAGGAACAAACAAATCTGTCTTTGAAGAAAGGCAGCCAGAGTGTTCCTAAGAGACAAGGACGGTGAGACTCTGCCTCACATACTTCAGACACGGTGGCAGAAAGGCTCAGTCCCTCGTGCAAAGGCCATGTTGCTTGGAAGCATAGAAGGTGAACTAAGAAGAGGACTCTCAATGAGACGGCAGACAGTGACTGCAACAATGGACGTAAGCCCAGCAGAGATTGTGAAGAAGATCAGTCAGGGGTTCATTCTGTTATATATTCAGTTACCATGGGTCAACATTGTCATTGTTGTCATGTACCGTAGAGTCAGAACCGACCCATAGCTGATCCTCCAGAAGGTTTTCAGAGGCAGTTAATTGCATGGAAGGTGACTGCCCACCCTTCTCCTGCAGAGCAGCTGGTGGCCTTGAACTGCGTGCCTTCAGGATTGCAGTGCAGTTTCTTGCCACAAGGCCACCAGGGCTCCCAGAGTCAATGTAACAGCACCTAGCAACAACAATGTAGGAGCCTGGTGGAACAGCAGTTAAGCGCTTGCTAGCTAACTGAACCTACCAGTCACTCCAAGGAAGAAGGGCAGGGGGCTTCGTTAAAGTTTACAGTTTGGGAAATCCTACGGGGCAGCTCTCCTCTGTCCTCAGAGGTTGCTGGAGAGCGCTCATTGACAAGCCAGCAAACACTAAGAGGTTCTACTCTGTATAGAATTTCCCTACCATCGTGAATCCTCATGAAACTTCTTTTTATGTTGGGGAAATGAGAGGTTAAAAAACACAAAGCAAACAATTTGTTAACCGACTCACCTTGGTGAGATCAAAGGGATTAAATGGAAAAGTTTCTGCCTGACTAAACGTCATGACCTGGATGTAAAATGTCCAGGAGGGGTAGTTCCCCGTGGAGATGGCATTGTAAAGATCCCGGAGGCCGTAGTCAGGGTCAGTCTGTGAAATCCTTGCTGCATCTTCCACAGAAAGGTTTTTGATGCCCTGGTCAGTCTACAGAAGGAAAGAAAGTAATGCAAATTAAACTTATTGGCAGAGGTATCAAACTTGAACACACACTTCACTGAAGGCCTTTGAACCTGATTATGGACAATTTGGGGAAGTAACACTGGCCCAAATGTTCTCACTGTTCAAATCTGACACCAACATGAATTTGCCAACAATAAATTCTATTGGCTTATTCTGATTCTTTTAAATACTGAGGGAATCCAGACTTAGTATTTCACACAATCTCACACAATTTTAGCATATATCACTTTACTGTGCTTTGCAAAGACCACTTTTTGACATTTTGAAAATTTATGGTAATGTGTTGAACAAGTCTATTGATATCATTTTTCCAACAGCCTGTGTTTATTTTGTGTCTCTGTGTCACATTATTTTAAAATCTAACATTATTTCAATCTGTCTCAAAATCCTAGTGTATAGACTACAGTATAGTAAAAAGAATTCATTTGCATGGGGAAACCCAAAAATCATGTGCCTCACTCTATTGTGCTGTTCACAGACTGTAGGGGCTAGAGCACCATCTACAAGGTACACCTGTGTTTAAAATTAGTCTCTATTTCCCCTTATATATTTATTTCTATATTATTTGAATTTTTACACTCCTGCTAACTTTCCTAACAGAAACGAAAGATATATCTAAGTATATCACTCAAATTTCTATTGAACTCTAAAAGAAATTCCCCTTTTTCATTTGAAATTGGTTTCTTGGAGCCAATTTTGTAAAAGTTCACATGAATTACTAAGATTATATTCAGCAGTCCCTTACCCGCACCTCACTTTATTTTTTTTTCTAGTTGTCAAAGAATCATAGTTTATAGAACTGAAAAGAACTTTGTCATAGTTTTTCTGAACTAGCTCTCCCAGAATTAACATGTGGATTTCCAAACACATTATTAGACCCAAAGAAGTTACATCACTTCACAAGTGCTCTTATATGGTAATACCCTATTCTCAATGAATTTTCTATGTAAAGCTGAAAGCCCTCCAACAGCTCATTGCCAGAGGGAGACTCTTCCTTAGTAAAAGCAACTCTGAAAGACTGGTTCCTTTTATCCCCACTTCCTCTGTCCCACAGAAACATCTGAAGGCAGGAATGAAGCTGCTTTCACCATTAAAAACTGAAGGCTACCATTTGCAGTTCACCCAGAGAGCTTATATTAAATTGCAATAATATTAAGATAGCTTTTGGATTGTAACTGAGCCATGTAGCTTTAGGAAACAATAATCTAGAACTATCCAGCTTGATGTGTCCGTGGAGCTCCAGGGTCACCTCAGAGCCCTCCTGACCTTCACAAGCAAACTATTCTATCCAGACTGTGCACAATTGGTGTCAAAATCATTATCCTAATTTTACAGTGAAAACAGCTAGAGCTCAGAAACCATGCCCAAGGTCACAGCTATCTAGAAAAATAAAGATTGGCATACTTGTTGGTCTATAAGACACCAGCCAGGTTGACTGTCCCAGATGCAAACTTCAGTCTAGTGCTAAACGACACTACAATGCTCCTTTGGGCAATAAGCAGACAACTATTTCTTAAAATGTCTCCAAGTCAAAGAGAAGGGAGCTCTGTGAGCCTCTGATAAGGAGCTGTACTGCCATCCTGAAGACACAGGTTTGAATCTACCAGCTGCTCCACAGGAGACACACAGCCAATCACGTCTCATATAGTAAACTGCCTCTGAAAGCCTGCTGGAGGGTCTGCTATGAGTCGGTACACAACAACAACAGTCCGAGAGTACAGTGCCAAGCCACAGAATAAAGAGGGCTGGCACTTTTGCTGTTTGAAATAGCTGCACAATTTATAAAGATTAAGGCAGGATAGAAGAAAACTGGTCTTTAGGAGGAAGATTGTTTGACGAGCCTGTTTCTATCTCTGTTGATTTGAGCAGTAACCAGGAACAGAACTTTTTAAGCACAGCAGCTTTTAACTTCCTGGAGTTTTTAGGAACACGACTCAGCATAACTAATGTCAACAACATACCAAGAGAAGACTCTACAAAATACTTCAATTAACTAAAGGGCTCTCCAAAGTGGAAGCAACCTATTTGATCCTGACTGTATGAAAACAAAGGAGACAAACATTAGAATTTTGTTTTCTGACAATAATAATTTATTTCACTTAATGCTCTTTGCTAATAATACATATTCAATAATGCCCAAAGGCAAGTGGTTTGAATCCACCAGCTGCTCTACATGGGACCATGGGCAATCTCTTCCCATGCAACTTACAGCCTCTGAAAGTTTGCTGGAGGGCCAGCTATGAGTCAGTTCTGATTGAACGGCTATGAATTGAGTTTGGAAGGCTGAATGAATATATTTCTTTGCAGATGTTTTAGGACAGAGAGTAGCAGACAATGAAGGGTTTACTGTAATTTTCCCCAATTTGGTCTCTCAATTCCTGAGAGATAACTGCTAAAATCTTAGTTTAGGAAACCATGCCCTAAAGGTTTAAGAAGTTGAAACCACAGTTAGCCATTTTTTATCCCTAGGCTATGCCAGTGAGGTAACTACTGAGTGCAGGCTGGCCAAGTTAGAAGGACTCACCAATTAACACCACTTTATAAAAACCTTAATAACATGGGGGAACAAAATCTTCAATAAAGGCTCTGGACTCTGAAGCTCCGTGGGTGTCATGATTGGTGATAGACATTGATGTACGGACCCAGAAACCTCACGTGAGAACTTTCCCAGATCTCACCCTACAAGTATGTCTTAATTTGAAACCTTTGTACTATAATAAAACTAATAAAAAGCAAAGCACTTTCAGTCATTATTCTAGTGAGTTATCAAACATTAAGGAGTAGTGGGAACAAACATATCAGAAAAAAAGGAGGCAAGGACTCCCTGAGTTTCTGGCTGGTACCAGGCGGGGATTTGTATCTGGCATCCCCAAAATAAAGGGAACGCCCAAGCTTAAGGCTAATGTCTGACGAGCTAGGCAGGCCTAGCAGCATGAAGGACTACAGCCTTTATCTTATTAGACCCGGCGTAGCTCTGAACGGTTCAAATAAGGGGAAGAAGTTCTGAACATGTAGCTGGTGTCCCAACAGAAGTAGCAGAGATTTTACATAGCCTTATATGCCAGATGGTGAGATTGGTATTCTCAAACTATATTAAAAAAACAAACAAACAAAAAACCCAACAGGAGCTCTGCTGGCCTACTCTGTAGAGAGTTGCAGGATTGTCTTTACAGGCAGAAACACTCCAACTCTTAGTGCCCTCCAAGACCCCAAAGCTGCCTATGCTCAAGACAGTGTCCCAGGGCTAGAAGGAGCAAAGTGGCCCATGATTTCCTAGAACTTGACCTTACACCACAACACAGAATTGTACCAAGCTAGGCTAAACCTGTGTGTTGGTGTCTAATCTGCTCTTTTTATAATTCAGAAGTGACCAGACTTAAAACTCACTCTACTCAGGTAAAATGTAACATAACAAAACCCTCATTTCTAAACAGGATTAAATCCATAGGTAGTCACAGGTACAGGAGTTAGGATTCCAACACATATTTTAGGGGGAACACAATTTAAACCATAAGAGTAAAAGCAAAGTGGGAGAAGCCTCGATTCTCGCCCCACACTCAGGAGGCGTAAGGGGAGGAGGTGTGGAGCCTGCGTTCCCCTACCTCAGAAGCAAACATATACCTTATAATGGAATTTGCAATAAACTGCCTCTCCATTCGCATTAACCAGTTTGAAAGTATGTGATCCATAGCCATTCATGTGCCGATGTCCATCTGGAATCCCGCGTTCACTGAATAAGAAAGAAACCTAAGGAACAGAAACATAGAGTGGGATATTTTTCAGTTTAAAGTAAAATAGAGTTGACCCCTGAATAGCTCTGGGACTAGAGGCTCAACTTCCTTCCCAGCCCAAAATCTGAGCATAATTTACAGCTGACCCTTGGACGACTTAAAACGCCATGTGATGTTAATCATTTCCACATGAACAGCCCGTCGCTGCAGAAAACTGTTCACGTGGAGTTGGTTACCGACACTTGAGCTCACCAAAATAGCAACAGGAGAAAGAAAGAAAAAAAAGGCAGAGTACATGGTGCACAGGCAGCTCAAATCTGTGTGGTTCAAAAGTTAACTGTATCTTGGATTTTTAAAACATTCTAACTATACTTCAGATAAACTCCTTAATGATCTAGAGCAAACAAACCCAGTATCTGCTGAAAGAGTTGTCGTGATACCGTCATGTGCAAAGAGATCGAAGAATTTAAAAGGAGGATGATACATAAACAGCACGACTCAGTATTCTGTTAAAGAATGCTTGAGTAAATCTGAAAACAAGTGCAACAGGGTATCAGAAAATTACTTTAATAGAAAGTATCTGGTAGCACTTTCCCCCCTCAGTCTTCCAATGTTTCCAGGTGCCATCAAGTCACCTGCGACTCATGGCGACCCTATGTAAACGGCTCTGAATACTGTCCTTTCTTGAGCCAGCCTCGCTAACTGACACACCTCATTGCCACAGTTATTATGTCGATCCACCTCATCAGGGTCTTCCTCTCCTGCACTGTCCCTCCACCCTTCTGAACATGATGTCCTTCTCCAAGGAAGGGTCCCTTCTGGCCACGTGCCTAAAATATGTAAGACAGCGCTTCAAAATACCCAAGGATTTACCTCGTACTAGAATCCTTAATTCCTTTTGAATTATTATTTTTTTAATTTAACTAAAAGTCTATAAATCATAGGGTTTTGTTCAATAATTGATAGATATTTTGTTTTAGAACATTTATTACAATTTATTAGTCTAATTAATTTATTCCAATTTAATCACACTCATAAAATTCTCACTTATTACATATGACCTATGTTTCTCACTATATAGCATCATTTAAGGACTACAAAAGGGGAAAGACTAACAAAAATTGATCATTATCAAACTCAATATGATCAAGAAATCTGAAGTCGTTCTCCTAAAAAGAAAAGCAGAAACCAATTCCAAGAAAATAACCAAAAGGAGAGAAGCACGTTGTGATTCACAATGAAGAGTCCTATCCCAGTGATGACACAGCGGAAAAGCCCGCATCCCCACCTGATGCAGCGACTCGGGGCGCAGGCTCCAGAAGTCCCACACCATGTCGGGGTCCTTCAGGTGTGTCTGCGGGTTTCTCTTCTGACTGTGAATAAATGATGGGAACTAGATAGGAAAAGAGAGCGAAAAAAAGACCTAAATTAAGTTTCTGAACGTTACAGTGTCACCAGGCAATGTTGGGCGATGCTTTTTTGTGTTATAGACATGGTCTCAATGAATGTGAGCTGCCTCAAAATCAGCTAACAAAAATGACATTGTACAACTACAATCGCAGAGGCACACGGTTCGAATCCACCAGATGCTCTGCCGGGGAAGGAGGGTCAATCTCCTCCTGTACCAGTCAGAGCTGATTTGACGGTACACTCACACAAAAACAATAAAAATTTAAAAAAAAAATGGCATTCTACTTTGCCTACTGCTAATTCGATGTTTCTCAACAATATAAGTCTAGAATTTTAACCTATCCTCAAACAAAATTCACCTAATACGTGCAGTTAAGATTAAAGATAATACAAACTGCTTCATGTACACTCAAAGGCTACAGTATCTCTTCACGGAAGAGATAAAATAAAATTAGCAGGTACACACACACACACACACACACACACACACACACACACACACCTTCTCTCTCCACCTCATTCCTACCATCTCAGAGAACCAGAAACACCTTCTGCTCATTTTCCAGGGTAAAGCCTATCCTTCCCTTACTAATGTTCTACGTTCTGTTAACCAAAACTAGACAATGTCCATCAAGTCAATCAGCCTTGAAATGCCAAAACTAAGGCCAATGACAATTGTTATTTGAGCTGATAAGTTAAAGAAAGAAAAAGAACTATACAAAGTTAATCCAACCAAACAAATGCTCTTCCTTCTGCCTTTCCTAGGCAGTCTCCTCAAACACCAACCTATCCAGAGTGTTTGAAATCAATTCAAACTAACAAACACTTGTAGAATACAAAGTACATCACCTACCAAGAGGGCATCCCTGATGAAGAAAATGGGGGTGTTATTTCCAACGAGATCCCAGTTACCATCTTCTGTGTAAAACTTCACTGCGAATCCCCTGGGGTCACGAACTGTGTCTGCTGAGCCCGACTCTCCAGCTAGACGACACAGAGGGCGAGCCTAAGTCAGGGTACTTGGCATAAACACAGACATCGCTACCTCACCTCAATTTATTTTCTAGAAGTGAACTAGGGAGTTAGCTGCCTGGCTTATTATTTTTACCACTCACCAGCTAATTCAATCCAGAAATTAAACAAAAGATTTAACTGAAAGTAATAAAAAAATATATGTAAAAGTGGCTGGAAATATTTAACATAAGAAGATAGCTCTGTTTAAACAAGTAATTAGAAATGGCATTAAAATAGTGGAAGAGAATAATTAGGAATACAAAGGGAGTGACTAAAGTGACTAAATAAGTTTCCACATTAAGGACATTAATTTCATAGGAAGCAAAATGGACTAAAAGATAAGTTCTCATTCTTCATTTAATTTCTTTTTACATCCTGTAGTTTATGAAAATCCACTGGAGAGTCAACTATGGGTCAGTTCCAACTCAGCAGTACACCACCACCACCACCACAACAACAACAACCACAGTATATGAAAATGCAAAAGCCCAGAACGATTGAGTCACAGAGTTAATTACACATTATGCACTGGTGTGTCACCATACAGTGTGACAGGTTTGTCCCTGTTGATGGGCAGTGGTGTTGGCTAGTGAGCCTGCATCACAGAGCCAAACTGCTCTGTAGGGTTTTCCTGTAGGGTAATCTTTATGATCATATTTCCAGGTCTTCCTTCTACAGAGCCACTGGATGGGTTTGAACTGCCAACCTTCTATTTCACAGTGGAGCTATTCATTACCCCTGATGCCACCAGGAATCTAAACTCACTGCCGTTCAGTCAATTTCGACTCATAGTGACCCTGTAAGTTTTCCTGAAGTTAAGTTCTAAATGCCTTAAAGTACAGGGTTGAGTTTATTATCAAGCAATATCAGCCATGCAAAGAGACCAACTTACCAACAGTGGAGAACCGAACTGCAATGGGTGTCCTCTTTCCAATGTGCTCAAACACCTTTGCCTTGCTGTACTTGGTAATATCATGGGTGACCTCAAAATAGCCAAAGGCCCCTAGGAAGAAAGGCACAGAAACCATCATCCTGAGACCATTACTCAGCCAATGAGACTCCTCCATTGGTGTGGCCACAAAGAGAAAGTGAAGGCTTAGCCCTGGCCTTCTGAAAACTTCTAATGTGATGGAGAAAGGGGAGAAAACCAAATCCAAAATAAAGGGAGTAAGACACAAAGCCCCATTAGCATTCAGTGCCTGCCAGAGCACTTCAGAGCCAGAACCAGGAGAAGGGCCGGGAAGAGCCAGGCAAGGCTGGCCACAAACTGACCAGAGAACCTGGACCAAGAGGGCCTTAAAGCACAGGAAGGATCTAGGAGAGAAATTGAAGAATGGGAAGGTGAGGAGAGAAAATACAGGGAAGAAAAGAATAGTCTAGACATTTATAGACGTTTCCACAGAGCCAAAACCACAACCCGAACAGCCTATCAAAGGTATAAACATAGTCACAAAAAAGATGAGGGTAAATTCTACCCAGAAAGAAGAGATGAAGGCTTTGGAAGTCCTAACTGAGCATCACAATAAGCAAATTTAGGAAAAGCTTTTTCTTTCTTTCTATGCAGATTTCTTTTCCCTAATGATTTACTTTCTTGTAAAACCACCACGAGATTTTGTTTCAACCATAAAGTCAAAATAAAATTTTTAAAATGTGTTAGGCAAGAGGAAAGAGAAAATCATCCCAAACCTACTGCCCTAACATCATCATCATCATCACTATTATATTAGGTGTTATCGAGTAGAATACGACTCATAGCAACACTACAAAGAGTAGACCTTAACCCTGTCCTATCATGTGCCAACCTCACAATCTCTGACACACTCAAGCCACCCTAACATAACTATCTTCAGTTCCACAATTTATTCCATAATCTGTCCAATAAATGTACCATTTAAACCAATTACAATGTCTATATTGTGTTTTTCACTTCCTCACTGAAATATACGTAAGGAGAAATATTCAGGACTACTATTTTTTTTATTTATAATCGGCTCTTTTCTACATGGTACCCTATGTAGGGCAATGCCCACTGTCATTGAGTTGATTCTGATTCACAGGGTCTGGAAGAAGTGAACAGAACTGCTTCACAGGGTCTGAAAGCTGTGATCCTTAGGGGAGGTGACTGCCTCACCTTTCTCTGACACTGCTGCTGGCAGATTTGAACCACTCAACTTCCAGTTAGCAATTAATTACTTCACCATGATTCTTTATGGAAGGCAATAATTCTCAGTTAGTTAATAATTCCCTTGTGGGAATTATCATAGATAATTTTTTTTTCTTTCTCCCAGAGACAGAGATCTGACAGGTCCATTAAGGGAGCATCCCCCATGGGAAATGATTTCTGACCCAGACACCATGACACAAGGCTTTCCCCACCAACCAGCACGGCTCCTACCTGCTCCTTTAGCGTGCACCACTCTCTCGGGAATTCTCTCTCGGTCAAAGTGAGCCATTTCATCAGTGAAAACCACATCCTGGACCAGAAGGGGCCCACGGGGGCCGATCGTAAGAATGTTGAGTTTGTCTCCTATGGGGTTACCGGCTCCAGTAGTCAGGACATCAGGTTTCTGAGTGAACAGAAAAGGGGTGGTGCGGGGGGAAGCACAGGAGAATCAATACAATGCAACCCTTCATTTACACAGTGGAATGCTAAAAGATGGGTGGTGGTTGTTGTTGTTATTAAGTGCCGTAGACTCACAGCGACCCTATGAACGAAAGTCCTCAATACTTTGCGTGCCTTTCATCCTTTTTCCAGGTTCATAGGGTTTCCGGAGGCGAGCTATTTACGGAAGTGGATGCCACTCCTGCTTCCAAGCTCTTTTTAACCAGGGAGCGCCACCAAACACTGTGCACCATGGGTAGCCATTCTCGCATTTGACATGTCAGTGTCACAGTGTACTGTTTGAAATTTATCATCAGATCTTAGAAATATCTGATAAAATGTTTTCTCCAATTTGCTAAAAAACCTGCTCTGAAGAGCAGAAACACATAGTTAAGTAACTCATTAATGGCTTGGCACCTCCTCTATTGAGCCTCAATTCCATACAGGAAGCCCCCAGACAGGGGTCCCCCAAAAGTTCCATATGTACTTTGCACTGAATGTCTATGCCCTGAATGGCTAAACGCATAAGAAGATGGTCTCCACGCAAACTGCTTTGCTAGGAACTTATAAATGCTTTGCTATTGCTATGAATGCTAAAGTCTATCATCCTCTATAAAGCATTCCTCTTTCTTATGTACTGTATAGCAGCTATTTGCAACATCTCTTCAACTACAGGGATGGTGAGGGGAAATGTCAAGTGCTTTTATTGTCACAAAAAAATAAACCACTACTGATAGACTATAATATTAATTTTCTAAGAAGTCAAATTTTCCCCAAATGGGATACATTTTATCCATCTAGTTCTCCACTTTGAGTTGCATCAGAAGCCTCTCTGTTCTCCCTGCTCTTGGTTGAGGACACATTCTTTAATCCCTGCATCCTTAGCTTTGTATTGTTTTATCCCATGGTCAAACACTCTACTTTGAAGATAAGGTGTTTGCCTTGCTACTGTCTTATCCCAGGTACCAGGAAGTCGGGAGAGCTATACAGGTGAACAAAGCTAAGTCACCTCCATGCTGGGAGAACTCAGTGTGTCCAATGATGAGAGTCAATGTTACCAACTTCACAAACCAGAAATGTGTCATTCTCAGTATGTCCATAAACCCTGCTTTCCCCAGGGTGAAGGGACTGTGTAACTTTCACCTCTGTGCACATACATATTGTATAGTAAAATAAAGTTAACACCTATATCTTCTCTAAAAGGCAATGTGGAGGACAGTGGTGGCCCTTAATCTAATGAAGTGCTATGAGCTATTTGACAAAGACACGAAATGAAAGAATTTGTGAAACTTGCAAAAGCAATGGATTAGGCTCTCAAACACACACTAGTAAGTCCTCCTGGCCCACAGGAGTTCTACCAACATAACACGAGAAGAGGCCTATCTGGTACCATGGAGAAACCATGCAGGCTGTACCAGCTCTGCCAAGAACCAGCTCTGTAGCTCCTGGCAAGCTGAATGTAACTTCCGAGTCCCAATTTTTCATATACAAAATGGACTGACCAACGTTTACCTCACAGAACTAATTTGCAGATCGAAAGAGCTAAATATATGTAAATAAATACAAGTAAAGCTTAAGTCATGCCAGGCATGTATGTGCACTTTTCTGACTGTAGAGGTCCCTAACTTGAGCAAATCACTTATGCTAAACAGTGGCGGTTCAAACCCACCCACAGGCACTGTGGAAGAAAAGCCTGGCAATCTGTTTCTATAAAGATTACAGCCCAATAGGTCAATGGTGATGAATTTTTATGAACTATAATGAACGGGAATGATTGTACAAAACACAATGTGAATGAAGGATAGCGTGCAACATAACGTATACAAACTTTGTAAGCAAACCAATATAAAATAAAAGTTTTAAAAACACCTGATTATGACTCAAAAAATAAAATGTATCCTTACTATTCCCTTTAAAAAGTAATCTGAAAAAAAAAAAGGAAAAAGTAATCAGAGAGGTGACAGGTGGCAAAGTTAGGGTCGTTTAAGTCAGTCTGTGCTGAGTCAATGGCACCTGACAATGAGAAGGTTAAATGGAAACAAGAACCACAGGGAGGAGGTAAGAATAGAGCTGTTTCCAATTTACTCTGTAAACTTTCCCTCAAAGTTCAACAGAAAGATAAAACTGAAAAGAAGTGGGAGGGGGGGCGGAATACAGCTGAGAAAACTTTATGGAATCGTTCTGTCTGTACCACGTGGGCCATCAGGAGTCGGAACTGACTAAACACCAATTGGTTGGGGTTTCTTTTTCTGAGCGTGTAGTTTTGGTTGTGGGGGGTTTTGTTGGTTTTTTGGTGTGGTCTAGTTTGGTTGTTTTGGGTTGTTGTGTTTTGAGTTTTTTTTTGTCTTCTTTTGTTCTGTTCTGTGGAAGTGACCCAATGGCAGAGCATTTGTTTTCTTCTTCAAGTCTTCATGACCGATGCACAGTCAGCCACCCAGACTCTCTAACTTGTCTGTTACCCATCCATCATCAAACACTTCAGAGCTGGCAGATAGTGTAAAGGTTCAGTCAGCAGTTACCCCACAGTCACACTACTTTCCTTTCCTGAGACACGTGATGCCGATACATGTGACACCGTGCATTTACTCTTTTAAGTGAAAAAGGAACCAGAAAAAGAAACTTCCAAGTTGCAGAATTTCATCTTCAGTTTAAACCTAATGGCTTGGATTTCAATCTGTAATGCATGTTAGAATTATGCAGAGAGCTTTTAAAAAAGATATTGAGAATTGAGTTATCCCCTTTGAGATTGTTTTATATAATTAGACAGGATGTGAGAAATGGGCTCTGAAATTTTATTATTATTATTATTATGCTTTCCAGGTGATTCCAAAGTGACTCAGAGATTAAGGACCATTTTAATTTATTTAAAAATTAACATAATAAAGCTATTTAAGCAAATTAAATCTGTCTATTCCTAACTACTCTTCATTATATAAGCAAAAGCTTGCCACAAATCTTTACTTGTCAAAATAAAAAGCAGTACTGGCGAATTTAATTACACGTCATTTTCATTTTTTTTACACTTTTTTCTATTTCCCTTTTAAAAACCATTTTTAAATCAAAAGGCCTTTTCTATATGCTTAAGTAGCAGATTTTCAAACTTGTTCTAGTTTTATATTGATTCAACATGATTCGCTTTGATGCAATAAGCAAAGAAAGTTCCTAAAATCATTTCTAATAATTGTCATATATTTTTGGGGAGTTCTGGTGGCACAGACTCTAGAAAGTTGAGCTAGTAACTCAAAGGTTACGCCTTCCTGGTGGCTCAAATCCAGCAGTGGCTCCATGGGGAAAAATGAGTAATCTCTTCCTGTGAAATCTGCAGCCTTGGAAATCTGCTGGAACGAAGATGTCTGCTCTGAGATGCCAAAGAAGAGTTTTTTTAATAATATGCCACTTTAAGTGTCCTCTTCAAATTACTTTCTAAAAACTGACTCCATTATGCTTTGATGCTGTTATGTGCCATCAAATCGGAGCCAACTCACAGCTAACCCTCCAGCTGGTTTTCAGAGGCAGTGAAACACATAGGAGGACACTGGACATCTTCCTCCTATGATGCAGCTGGTGAATTTGAACTGCATGCCTTTAGGGTGACAGCGCAACTCCTTACCACTAAGCCACCAGGATAGAGCTCCTGGGGAGTCAGTTCAGGTCTGTCTGCTCCCCTTTTGGTCAGTGAAGAGTATGCTGCATGCAATAGGCACCTTCTGTGGCGGCTAAGCCCACAGCTAATACACTACAGAGAAGGCTCTGAGGGAGCTCTGGTGGCCTAGTGGAAAGAAGCTGCACTACAATCCAAGAGGTATGCGGTTCAAATCCACCAGATGCTCTGCTGGAGAAGGAGGGGCAATCTCCTCCTGTACCAGTCAGATCCGATTTGACGGTATACACACACAAAATAATAAAATTTTTAATATATATATATTTTTTTTTTTTTTTAAAAAAAGAAGGCTCTGACAGTAACAAGACTGACCTCCCTGGAAGGTATGTGAAGCATGACAACCCCTTCTCTACCCAGACACTGTTATCTACCAGCAAGCCTGCTGTGAACTGCTACAGAAAGGATCCAAGGTGCAGCCCAGGCCCCTGAGTCGGCACTCTACCTGCCTCCCTGCAGCTTCTAAAACCTACAGGATAAACCTCCCTAAGAAATTGGGATGTTTGCCCTTACTTCTATTGGTTCAAAGGACTGATGACCAAGGCTCCAGTTTGTCAAAGGCAGGAGTCTTGAGGAAGGGCTCTGAGGGCTGACCTCCCTTGGGGGGGGCAGCTCAGTGTCTGCTGTCCACTCCCCTAACTGGTAAATGCTGACCACTGGAGTAGTATAAACTATTGTGGAATCAAGAGATGGGTCACCACCTTCAACAACCACTGGGCTACTGGGTTCTGAAACCCACAAGATAGACCTCTCAGAGGTCCTTCTGGTCCATCCTGGTCTTGAAACGAAGGCAAATATCACCCTGTGTTTCCCCTGGCTGCCAGCCCAGGTACAAGCAGCATCTACAGAGCAAGGAAGAAAAACTCAAGCAAAATGTCTCTTGGAGAAGGACATCATGCTTGGAAGGGACAGCGGAAGAGAGGAAGACCTTCGATGAGATGGACTGATTCAGTGACTGGGGTAGGTGTGTCAGAGACAATAAGGTTGGCACAGGATAAAGCAGGTTTCAGGGCTATTGTACATGCAGTCGCTATGAGTCACAAGTGACTTGACAGCACATAACTACAACAATTGGTTTTTCATATATTCATTATCCTGTGTGCATATTTTTAATAATTAACATCTTTTTTCATCAAGATAAGCTTTATCTCTGAGCTTTCTCTAATGACAAAATAGGAGACCTTTAACGAGATGGATAAGTGGCTGCAACAATGCACTCAAACATATCAATGCTTGTGCAATGCACCGCAGGACCAGGCAATGGTGATCAGGAGAGAGACCCCACTTGATGGCAACCAAGACAGCAT